ATAGATAAAATCAGATTGTTCTAGTTTAGTTTAGTAATTAATAAGTTTTTATATCTAGATCGGGTTGTTTGCAGTTTTTAAAATACTGCAACGGCGATCAATGCGCCCCCATCTCCCCTACCTTTATTTAAAACTTTTTTAATTGTAAAATACGTTTTATGTTAATTGTAAAATACGTTTTATGTAACGACTCTTTGTTTTACTTTTCTGTTTATTTTATATACAGATTATATACATTGTAAATAATTATGCTAAATGCTTGTAAAAGGTTCTGATGATAAGATCAGTACGATCTTCTTTCAGAAACCTTGTTTGTATTTGTTAAAGTATTGTATTACGACAAATGTAAACTTAAAATGTAAAAAAAAAAAAAAATGACTGGTAATAATAATGAGTGTAATGACTGGTATTAATAATGAGTGTTACTAATTTATGTTTTATCAAATACATTTTATGAATTTATAATTTTTTACGTATCCCTATAGGCATTTTTTAAAAAAAGTTATATTATAATTTAGAACGTTTAGAATTTCTAAACGTTGAAAAAACTTAAAATAAAGTAAAAAAATAAAGGAGCCCCCTTTACTTTTTTAGCGGGAAGGAGGAAGGGGGGGAGGGGCAAATTTATAGTTACGCTACTGCCTTAAACTTAGAAAACGAGATTTATAATCTATTATGGTTTTCTGGAGTATGGCTGGGTTGGTTTGGTGGTTACGCTGGTTACTAACAACACAAGACTCTACTGAACGACATAAACAGCAGAGACATACACATTACACCTATACACCCTTATGCACATACAGCCTGTTTACATAGTTTGCGTGCTTTTTGTTCTTTTTTAGATAAACTATCTTTGTTTGAACTCATCCTTGTTTAGATAGTATTTTCTTTTAATAGATAATATGTGGTTGAAATGTATATATAGATTTGTATGTTATGTATATGTGGTAATCATGAGTGATTGAGTTTTCATTTTAATTTATTGTGTTTTCATGTTTTCTTTCGGTAGTATGGTTAGTGATTTATTTAGCTATTTTTATTTTTGTTTGCTTAGTTGATCTACACTTTTGATATCATATCATTAAAAAAATGTTGGTGCTTTACAGATTTGGGGATGGTTGGGTTTTGGCTATTTGTAGTGAGTCTTTTTTTACTGATGATTATGGAATTGGCGTAAGTCTCGGGGCAAAGCATAAGTGGCGATGACGTTAGTCCGACGGGATAAACTAGTTATAACTACTGATCATCAAGGAAACACCAGTAATAATAGACGTGACTCTGAGGAGATGTTTATTACTTAATCACTACACAAATTGTGTTTATACATTAACATTAATGTTTTTTTTTTTATTCTGAGGCTTTCCATTGTTGTAAGAATACTTTTTTTTTTGTAATAAATTTTTGTTTGGTGATATATTTGTTGTATATTTTCGTTCATATTAGTATTTATAAAACAATTAATTTTTTTAATTATTATTAAGTACTGTTTTAGGTGCATTGACTGTCTTATCTATTTTTAATTATTCCTCTATTAATCTTTATTTTTGTATTGACAACTGTCAAAATATGCTTTGTTCAAAAAATAATTCTGGTCTTCGAAGTAACTTTTCTTCTGTTGAGTCTTATCTCTTGCAAAGTTCACCAGAACTACTTGCTCTTTGTGAGACTAATTTGAGTTCAGTTGTCTCATCTTGTGATCTTAGTGTTGATGTTTTTTTTTTTTTTTTTTTTTTTAATTTTATTTTAATTCACCTCCTCAAGGCCGAGAAGGCCACTACAGACGAGGAGGCTACTTATTTTTGGCTATAACCCTCTCTCAACTCTATAACTCCGAAACACGAACCTCGATGAACAAGGCCGCTGCACGGAGAAACGAGTTGAGCGCAGTACTACCAGGGACGTGGTGAGGATCGAACTCCGAACCACTCGTTTATGAAGCGAGCGCTCTACCACTACACCACTATCGCATAACCATTTCACCCATTTGTCGGGAAACTAGGTTTGAATCCACAGACTACTCTTTTATGTGCTTTCGTTTAGCACCACTTCACTCTATCACCTTTCTCTTTGTTCTATATTGCTCTCCCTCATCTCAAGACTGCACTCTTCTTGATGTTATTTCTGATTATATTGACCAAGCCCTCATTCTTTATCCATCAGCCAATATTGTTGTTGCCGGTGACTTTAATGTTCATCACACTGAATGGCTTGGCTCTAGTGTCAGTGACTCTGCAGGCATTAAGGCCCACAACTTTTATCTTTCTTAATCCCTAACTCAAATAGTCAACTTTCCAACTCGCTTTCCAGACAACCCGAATCATTTACCTTCTCTACTCGACTTATGTCTTGTTTCTGATCCTAGTCAGTGCTCAGTTTCTTCACACTCACCCTTAGGTGCTTCTGATCATGGTTTGGTCTCTCTAAAACTATTATCTCATTCTTCTTTACCATCGGAATCGCCCTATCATCGTACATCTTACAACTACCTTAAAGCTGACTGGGACTCTTTCCGTGATTTTTTTCGTGATGGCCCCTGGGTAGAAATCTTTCGTCTCTCTGTTGACAAATGTGCTTTTTACATAACATCGTGGATTCAGACTGGCATGGAATCCTTTATTCCCTCTCGACGATTCCAGGTCAAGCCTCACTATTCTTCATAGTTTTCCTCACATTGTGCTGCGGCAATTGCCAATCGAAACCATTACTTCCATATCTATCAGCAAAGCAGTTCTCCAGAAAACAGACGTCTGTTTATTACTGCTAGGAACCATTGTAAAAAGGTTTTGTCAAAGTCCGCTATTTTCAGGTCATGAAATCTCGTATTTCATCACAAAAATTAGGCTCTCGTGACTTCTGGAGAATCTTTAATAGTATCAATAATAAGGGCAAGTCTGTAATTCCACGTCTTTTGTATGGTTCAGACTTTGTCACCTCACCCAAAGACAAAGCTGAATTGTTTGCTAAGAACTTTTCATCAATATCATCTCTTGATTCCACTAGTTGCGTTCTACCTGATGTAGCCGTCAAACAGGTTGATCCATTGCTCGACATTCATATCAATCCAGCTTCTGTATCTAAAGTGATTTCCCGCTTAGACTCTTCTACAGCTTGAGGCCCGGACAACATACCTGTTATAGTCTTGCAGAAGTGTTCTCCGGAGCTGTCGTCTATCCTTTCAAAACTATTTAACAAGTGCTTATCAGTCTTGTTTTCCAGCCTGCTGGAAAGCAGAATCCGTTATCCCTATTTTAAAAAATTCTGGAGAGCGATCCGATTCGTTTAACTACCATCCCATTAGTCTTCTTTCTATCATAAGCAAGGTTTTTGAATCTTTAATTAACAAACACTTAATCTCTCATCTCGAATCTCATAACCTACTTTCTGATCATCAATATGGATTTCGATCTTCTCGTTCTACGGCTGATTTGCTATCAGTAAAAACCGATAGGTTTTATCGCGCATTAGATAAAGGTGGAGAGGTTAAGGCCATTGCTCTTGACATTTCTAAAGCGTTTGATAAAGTTTGGCATGCTGGTCCTCTCCATAAGCTTTCTTCTTGCGGTGTATCTGGAAACATCTTTAAGATTATTGAATCCTTCCTTTCCAATCGTAGTATAAAAGTTGTCCTTGATGGACAGCACTCTTCTTCTTATTCTGTAACCTCAGGGGTTCCTTAAGGTTCAATCCTTGGCCCTATACTCTTTTTAATTTACATTAACGATCTTCCAGATATTCTCACATCTAAGGTGGCATTGTTCGCTGATGATACTATTATTTATTCTTGTCACAATAAGAAGCCAACTCCCTCTGATTGCTTGCAGGGGACATCTGAGCTTGAAAAGGATCTCACTTCTGTTACAGCATGGGGCTCACAGTGGCTGGTGAACTTTAATTCAGATAAAACTCAATTTTTTTCAGCTAATCATTATCGCAATAATTTAGACCTTCCTATATTTATAAACGGTAATGTACTCGATGAGTCTCCTACCCTTCATCTTCTAGGATTAACTCTTACTTCTGATCTTTCTTGGAAACCTTATATCAAATCCGTTGCAAAATTAGCATCTGCTAAAGTTGCTTCTCTTTATCGAGCTCGTCACTTTCTCACTCTGGATTCTATTCTCTATCTCTATAAATCTCAAATCCGGCCTTGTATGAAATACTGTTGCCATATCTGGGGCGGATCTTCTAATGATGCCCTTTCTCTTTTAGACAATGTGCAAAAACGCATTGTAAACATAGTTGGACCTGCTCTTGCAGCCAACCTTCAACCTCTGTCACACCGTCGTAATGTTGCTTCTCTTTCTCTTTTCTATAAATACTATAATGGGCACTGCTCGAAAGAGCTAGTGTCTCTTGTACCATCTACTAAAATTCATTTTCGTGTTACTCGTCATTCAATTAAGTTTCATCCTTTTTCTGTTACTGTTCTTAAGTGCTCCAAAAACTCTTATTCGTCTAGTTTTTTTCCTCGAACATCAGTTCTTTGGAATTCGCTTCCTTCATCTTGCTTTCCTGATTCATATAATTTGCAATCTTTTAAGTCGTCTGTCAATCGTTATCTTGCTCTACAATCTTCATCTTTTCTCTTCCAGTAGCTTTCAACACTTATTAGTGGTTGCTTGCAGCCTTGTTGGAAGCGAAGATAATTAAAAAAAAAAAAAAATTAAGTTAAAAAAATTAAAAAAAAGATTAGGATATCCTTAAACTTAGAAAACGAGATTTATAATGAACATTTTAGAAGATCATTGTAATATGATCATAAAAATTTGTTATATTAAATTATTTGCGTTATTTTCAACTAAACTTAAATCTTTTTTTGTTTAGTAGAAAATTTTTAATAATTCTTACTAGTCATAACTATATTGATTTAAATATATACTTTTAAATCAATATGAAAGCGTGACAATGTTTAAATAAACTTTTATTCTTTGGGGTCATGACTATATTTCCTCAACGCATCCACCACATGTAACAACCCAATAACAATGCTAAAAATATTACCTCAAAGAAGTATATTTGTCTAGAAGAGAAAATTTTAATTTCAAAGTTCCCCTTATTAAAAAATATAAAACTTTACTATAAAAATTCCATAAAAATCTCTAAATAAAAAAAATTATAAAAAACTAATTTCAAAAGAATTTAAGATTTAAATTTAATTTTTTTAATTGAGCAAAAAATTTTTATCAGCGAAAAATTAACAAAAAGAAGGCAAATAAAAAAATAGTCAAAAAAATATAAAAATATATTTAGAATATTAAAAAAAAATAAATAGTTTTTTTTTGATTAAAAATGCTTTTAAAAGATAAAATATATAAATAAAAATATATTCCATTTTTCTAAATGTTTAAGGATCAACAAAAGAAACCATAATATATCTAGTTCCTTTTAATATAGGTAAACCTTCATGTTGATGTGTAAGTCGACCAGGGTGCATTAGAGCCCATCCTTCTTTTGTTTTGGCAACACTACAATTGTACCGTGTAAATCTAGCGCCGCCACCCTAAAAACAACACAAAACAAAGTTTTAAAGTTTGCATATTGTTTTAAAAAAATGTTAACGGATAAAATTTTATTATCTTACATTTAATATACAACAATAAAAAAAAATATTGAAAAAACAATCTTATATTATATTAAAAGCATATTAAATTAAATAAATGCATATTGGTTAGAAGATATTAAAGCAAATTAGTTTAAAGATACAACAGCATATTCGTTAAATAATTTGGCAAAAATATAAAAAATTTAAAAATTTTGAATTTAGCCTATTTTTCTAAATTACGTTTTTCATACTCTTTTTTTAAGTGATATAAGCCTAATCTTTTAGCTATTCTATTTTTTATTGACTGACCTAGGTGTGACCATGACCTTTACCTATTCTACTTTTTATTGACTGACCTAGGTGTGATTTTGACTTTTAACTTTTTTTTTTTAATTGACTGACCTAGTTGTGACTTCGACTTAAAAATAATATTTTCAAATCAAAGTAGTCTTTTCTAATTAATGTTTTATAAAACGCAGTAAACAAGCCACTCATTTATACTATACATCACTGAATTTGAAAAATTATAAAAAACAACTTAATTATTTTTAGTATAGATTTATGACATATATCTTTTTAGTATAGATTATGATGTATACAGTGGGTGCTCATATTATTAGAAACACGACCAAATTTTAAAAACTTTGTGAATAAAGTTCAAAATTAACAAAACATTTTAACAAAATAATTTTTTCTATTTTACAAATAGTATGTATGTACCTTTTACTTTAATCTGGAGTTTGGCAACATTGCATTTCATCTCATTATGAAGTTATAGGGTTTTTCCCGAATTTTGACAATTTTGGCAGTTATACCTGTGTTGTTGTCGCGTGAAGTGCTGTTTGTGTATTGCTCACTTTTTAAAGCTTTCAAAGATTTTTTTATTGTTTTGTTATTGAGTTCTATTTATGTGTCTATTTTTTACAGTTAAACATGATTAAATCAATATTTTTACATATAATTTGACTTCTATAACGGTTTACTAGAATCACGTTTTTTTTCAATATGGGAAAGGCAAAAGATGTTTCACCATTAAATAAAAGAGAAGTTAGAGCATTATTGAAGAATACTTCTTATTCTCAAAGGTGTATAGCATCAATGACAAAGGTCTCAGTGGCAACAGTCAACCGAATAAAAAAAAATCTGGACAAAAATGCTGATTATACTCCTCAACGAACAGGATATTGTGGTAGAAAATGGCTAACAACGCCAAGAGACGACAGAAAAATACGAGATATTTGCCTAGAAAATAGGAATAAGCCTAGGCGAATACTAACCACTTTAATACAAGATGCTGGAATACCAGTATCTCCAATGACAGTTCGTCGCCGACTCAAAGAACAAGGATTTCGATGCTGTCAACCTGCTAAAAAGCCTAAGCTCACTCTAGCAATGCAACAAAAACGCCTTGCTTGGGCTAAAAGTCATCAGCATTTGACCGTCGATGACTGGAAAAATGTAAGTACTTCATTTATAATTGTACGCATTCTATTTAGAGATTTGCCTACATTAAAACTTTGACTTATAAGTTTTTTTGATGTTGTTTAGGTATGTTTCTCGGATGAATCGACAATCCAGATATTGATGAACAAATCACAGTTTGTGCGTAGACGAGCTGGAGAAAAATTCCACAAAGACTGCATCTTAGAATGTGTAAAGCATCCTCTAAGTATAATGGTATGGTCTGTAATTAGTGGACATGGAACAGGGCGCTTATATATCGTTGAGGGAACTATGCGCCAGGACCAATACATAAAAGTTCTTGACACAAGATTGGTACCACAGTTGAAGGAATGGTTCCCAAAGAGCCAAAAATTTACATTTATGCATGATTCTGCCCCATGCCATAAAGCAAAGGTTACAGAGTACCTAAAAGCAAAGAAAATGCCAGTGCTACCATGGCCTGGAAACTCACCAGATTTAAACCCTATTGAAAATCTGTGGGAGATCATGAAAAGGGAAATTGCTTCTGAAATGATCACCAACAAAATACAATTAATTGAAAAGATGATCAAAGTCTGGCACAATAACATAGATATTCAAAATAATGCAATAAAATGCATAGAAAGTATGCCAAGACGTGTAGAAGCGGTAATAAGTGCCAAGGGAGGGATAACAAAATACTAAAATAAATCACCAATATGTAATCTTTTGCTTGTACAATAGTGGAATTATTTAAAAAAAAAAAAAAAAAAAAAAAAAAGTTTGTTTTTTATAATAAATATAGACCGCAACACTCAAAAGTTACGAAAAAATAGTCTGCAACCTTTTTATTTCTATAATAAATAACCTTGAACACATAATTTTCAAAAAAAAGACAGTGTTTCTAATAATATGAGCACCCACTGTAGATGACAATACAAAATAACACTACAAAATAACACTACAAAATGACATTGCAAAACGACACTACTAAATAACATTACAAAATGACACTACCAAAATAACACTACAAAATGACACTACTAAACGACACTACTAAATAACATTACAAAATGACACTACAAAATGACACTACCAAAATAACATTACAAAATAACACTACAAAATGACACTACAAAATAACACTACAAAATAACACTACAAAATGACACTACAAATTGAAGCTTAAGTCCTCCTAACAAAAAAAAAATTAAGTTATTCATATACAAAACAACTTTTTTTCTCAGTTTTTTTAAAGAATTTACAACAAGTGTAAAATCAATTATTAGTTATTGTTATAAAATTTATATATTAGTTTTAATTAGTTACTAATTAGTTTTAATTTGGATTTCTCCAAGAAATATTTTTATTATAAAATATCTATAAAATTTCTATTTTGAGTTTTCTTTTGCGTGGTGTCAAAATAAAATTAAAAAAAAAAATTAACTTTTAAAAAAGTTCTTCAAAGAGATAATAAAAAATATAATTTATTTTTCTCTTTGAAACTTATTACTTCAAACCATCTTAAAGAAACACGACCTTGGTTTATAAATTTCTGATATTATCAGGAGGATAGCATATAAATGTCTGATATTTTACAGAGGATAGGTATATAAAGATTCCTAAACTTTATTCTACCAGCAAGTTAGGAATAGAAATATTTTTGGTTTTCTCAAAGTACTGTTGCGGGAAGTAGCTCCTTTTAACTACTCCAGGTCAGGTCAGGATAATCGAGATCAATCTTGCTACTGGTATCACGTAACCCAGTACCACCTGCCACAAGCCCTGCTGCCTTGCAGAGTGTGCTCTTCTTATGCAAAGGCTAGGAGAAATAAACTCCAACTAAAAATTCCCCTGCCTTGGGGCTCTTGGTTGAGTAAAGGCTAGAGATGGTGTCTCGATAAAAACACTCATCTTGGGCAGATGTTAACTGCATCCAGCTAAACATCCCCTGCCTTGGGGCTCTTGGTTGAGTAAAGGCTAGAGATGGTGTCTCGATAAAAATACTCATCTTGGGCAGATGTTAACTGCATCCTGCTACTGTCTTGTAGAAGGCCTCCTAGGCAAAGACTTTAGGGGTAAGCAGAAAAATGCTGCTAACCAGCCTCGAACCCCTTCTTCATCTATTAGGCTGGCGTAGATGTAACCTGTGTTACATTGTTTCCTGCCTAGGATGATGAATGCTGGATCTCCTTGACTCTACTCATAGAATTTTGCTTATGTCTCTATGATAATGGCTATGCAATTCTTCCTGTTATCTCCATATGAGGGTACAGCTCTAAAACTCAGTTTAATGGTTCTGAGGCCGGCTGGTAGTAAGGTTTCCCGAACTCTGTGGTAGCTCTCAGAGAGGCTAATTCCATCAACAGCTGCAAAATATCAGAGTATTAACAGTGCCATGTTGCGCATGGATGGTGTCCCTGTTAATGCTTTTGGTGTGCATTGTCAAGGCCACATAAGGAGCCCTATGTCATGGCTTAGGGTTAATTAACAGGACTGAGACAACTGCATAGCTCATTGATTAGGAGGCTGTGCTCTATCTATGAAAGAGTCAAGTTCTCATTAAACCCAAATCATGACCAAAGTAACCAAAAATTTAAAACCTAAAAAACCATCCCCACCACCTAAATATTTTAATATATCTTTTACAAATATTCGCGGTCTACGAAGCAACTTTCCATCAGTTGAGTCTTACCTCCTGCAAAATTCACCAGACTTGCTTGCACTCAGTGAAACAAATTTAAGTTCTGCAATTCCTTCTTCAGATGTCAGTGTTGATGGGTACTATCCTTTGATTCGTAAAGACTCCAATAGTCACATGCTAGGTTTAGGGGTATACATACGCATTAATTCCCCTATTTGTTGTGAAATCAGGTTCGAATCCTTTGACCATTCTTTTATGTGCTTTCGCCTAGCACCTCTTCACTCTATCACCTTTCTCTTTGTTCTTTATCGTTCTCCTTCTTCCCATGATTGCACTCTTTTAGATGTTATCTCTGATCAAATTGACCATGCCCTCTCTCTTTACCCCTCTGCCAATATTGTTGTTGTTGGTGATTTTAATGCCCATCACACTGAATGGCTTGGCTCTAACACCACTGATCCTGCTGGCACTAAAGCCTTTAACTTCTGCGTTTCTCAATCTCTTACTCAGATAGTTAACTTTGTGACTCGTTTTCCTGACAACCCTAATCATTTACCTTCACTCCTTGACTTATGTCTTGTCTCTGACCCTAGCTTATGTTCAGTTTCTCCCTTTTCTCCCTTAGGTGGTTCTGACCATGCAATGATCTCTATAAATCTTTCTTCTCGTACTTCTTTTTTGGGTTCACCTTATCATCCCACCACCTACTACTACCCTAAAGCTGACTGGGATTCCTTTCGTGATTTTCTTCGTGATGGTCCTTGGGCTGATGTTTTTTCTCTCTCAGCTGACAAATGTGCCTCCTACGTAACCTCCTGGATTCAGGCTGGAATGGAAGCTTTTATTCCTTCTCGTCGGTTTCAAGTCAAGCCTCATTCTACTCCATGGTTTTCTCCTTCTTGTGCGGCTGCTATATCCAATCGTAACCATTTTTTTCATCTTTTTCAAAAGAACAACTCTCTTGAGAACAAACGGCTATTTATTATTGCAAGAAATCGATGTAAAAAGGTGCTTTCTGATGCTAAACTCCATTATTCTCAGTTCACTAAATCTCGCATCTTATCGCAGAAGTTAGGCTCTAAAGACTTTTGGAAAATCTTCAACAGCATTGTTAACAAGGGTAGATCTAACATTCCATCTCTCATTCATGGGATTGATCTTGTTACCTCTCCCAGGGATAAGGCAGAACTGTTTGCAAAGAACTTTTCTTCTAATTCCACTCTTGAATCTTATGGACATTCTCTTCCTTCCATTCCAGTCAAACAGGTTGACCCATTGTTAGACATTCAAATCACTCCAGCTCCATTCAAATCACTCCAGTCATATCTCAATTAAACTCGTGTACAGCTTGTGGTCCAGACAACATTCCTGTCACAGTCTTGCAGAATTGTTCTCCAGAACTTTCTTCAATTCTCTCTAAACTATTTAACAAGTGTTTGACTGAGTCTTGTTTTCCTGCTTGTTGGAAAATGGCATCTGTGGTTCCAATATTCAAAAACTCTGGAGAAAATTCTGACCCCTCCAATTATCGTCCGATCAGTCTTCTTTCTGTTATTAGCAAGGTCTTTGAGTCTTTAATCAACAAATTCCTCACATCTCATCTTGAGTCAAATAAACTGCTGTCAGACAATCAATACGGTTTTCGATCCTCTCACTCTACGGCCAACTTGCTAACTGCTGTAACTGAAAGATTTTATCGTGCATTAGATGGAGGCAGTGAGGCTAGGGCTATTGCTCTCGACATATCTAAAGCTTTCGACAAAGTTTGGCATGCTGGTCTTCTCCATAAGCTTGCTTCATATGGTGTTTCTGGGAAAGTTTTTGAGATTATCAAATCATTTCTTTCTGACCGGTTTATTAAAGTCATCCTTGAAGGCCAACACTCTTCTTTATTTCCAGTAACTTCTGGGGTTCCCCAAGGTTCCATCCTGGGCCCTGTTTTGTTTCTTATCTACATAAACGATCTTCCTGGCAACCTTTCATCTAAAGTAGGTCTTTTTGCTGATGACTCAACTTTATACTCCTGTTTTGACAAAAAGTCTTCTCTTTTCGATCGCCTAGAACAAGCAGCTGATCTTGAATCTGATCTCACTTCAGTAATAGATTGGGGTTCACAGTGGCTTGTGAATTTCAACTCTAAAAAAACCCAATTGCTTACTGCAAACAACTACCGTAATATGGTCAACATTCCTATATTAATGAATGGCAATCCTCTTACTGAGTCGTCCTCTTTACGTCTTCTTGGATTATCGTTTACTACTGACCTTTCATGGTAACCATATATACAATCGATTGCTAAATTAGCTTCTGCTAAGGTTGCTTCTCTTTATCGTGCTCGCTATTTCCTTACTTCTGATTCCATTCTCTACCTCTACAAATCTCTTATTCGTCCCTGTATGGAATACTGTTGTCATATTTGGGCTGGTTCTTCTAACGATTCACTCTCTCTTCTTGACAAGATCCAAAAACGCATTGTAAATGTTGTTGGACCTGGACTATCTGCTAAGCTTGAACCTCTTTCCCATCGTCGTAAAGTTGCATCTCTTTCTCTTTTCTACAGATACTATCATGGTCACTGCTCAAAGGAGTTATCATCTCTAGTTCCATCAACTAAAATTCATTCTCGTTTTACTCGTCATTCAGCTAAGTCTCATTCGTTTTCTGTATCTGTCCCTGCATGCTCTAAAAACTTTTATTCATCTAGTTTTTTTCCCCGCACTTCAATCCTTTGGAACTCTCTCCCATCTTCATGTTTTCCTGACTCATACAACCTTCAACTTTTTAAGTCTTCTGTCAACCGTTTCCTTGCTCTATAACTCTGTTCTTTTTTTTTCCTAGTAACTCCCAACTTAATAGTGGTTGCTTGCAGCCTTGTTGGGAGTGAATGCAAATAAAAAAAAAAAAAAAAAAAAAATTTTATTATACAGAACGCATTTAAATATGAGATTAACAAGAAACATAAAAGAACAAAATCATACAAAATTTTAAACTAACCTCATATTCGTTAACATTATTTAATGCCATATTTATTGTATAAGTTGATGAGTCATGATGTGGTCGTAGATAATACTGACCATTTGTTGTGTACTTAACAACAAAATTCATAATAGCACGTGCCTTTAAAAAAATAAAAATAAAAAACAAAGTAAAAAAAAATTCCTCAGTGTAAACATATAGTTAAAAACACTATAAACTATGCTACCATAATATAATAGATAAAAAACAAAATTACTATATAACAACATTTTTAAATATATGTAATTTATAATATTTAAAAATCATACATCAGAATTGTATCCAGTAAAGTAACGAGAACTCATTGGAGCTATATAATCTTTAAGTATCTTTAACCATTGTTTTTCCAAACCAACCTGTATGACAAAAATATAACATTTTTTAAATATATAAGCGGGAGGTTCCAAGTTTGATCCCAACCACTTCCCTGGTAGTACCTCGCTTAACTTGTTTTTCTGCGCAGCAGCCTTGTTTGTCAAATTTTTATATGGTTGCATGCTATTTGTAAAACTACCCAGTTAATAAAAAATGTTTGTGAAAGTAATGAAATAGAAAAATTTTGGTTTTATTATGTACATAATAAAATACTTGTTGTAATAAATTTATCAAGGTATTGATAGTAAAAAATGTAGTAAAAAATATCAACAAAGTAACATGTAAGATTTGCTCCTGTAACTAATGAAATTAACATCCTGTCAAATGTTTATCATGTCTTATTGCTTTAGTTGCTTATTGTGTCTGATGTTCATTGCATCAAGGAGTTATTATGTTAGTTGTCCATCATGTTAAATGTTTATCATTACTTATAATTACCAGTAATCTCAAAATGTTTGTCTCAAGGTAAGTAATAAACCAGTAAGCAATTGAGCTTAGTGTTAAGGCCTGCCACCTTCAGTGTTTGGGTCAGTACCATTAGGTTTTTAATTCAACAATTAAATTTGTTTTACGCTTTTTTTTTTTTTTTAATTCACCTCTCTAAGGCTGAGAAGGTCACTACAGACCAGGAGGCTACTTAATTGTGGTTATAACCCTCTCCCAACTCTAGTTGGGAGAGGGTTATTTAACTGGCTAGTTTTACAAATAGCATGCAACCATATACAACATGATAATTAATCAAAACAAAATGTGTTAAATGATGCACATTTTTACATAATTTATTGTTTTCAATTGTCTAAATTTTATTTTTAAATAGTTTTTTAAATAATAAATTTTTAAATAATAAAGTCAAAATTTTAGTTAGAGTACTTCATACTTGATTCATATGAATGTCAACAGTTGGTACATTCTCATATCCACCAGATATTCTATCGTCCTATATATATATGAAAGAATTGTCTTATAAATAATGCCATCAACAATAATTAAATATATATATATATATATATATATATATATATATATATATATATATATATATATATATATATATATACATATAAATTAATAATAATAAAAAAAAACTACAAAATGAAATAGAAAACAAACATAAATTACCTTGTTTCCGCCTCCTGACCATTTTCCAAAGTTTTCCATTTCCTAAAACAACAATCTTTTAATATTTTTTTTTATGAATAATATTTGTCTTTGATCAGACTTTAGCTTATACTTGAAAAATTTTATTCTAAAAAATTATAAGTCAAAAATAATTTTAGTTCAAAACTGTAAATAACTTCATCAAAAGAAAGTTCCAAATAAAAAATTCCAATAACACTGTATTTAGACTTTTTATTTAGACCTGCAATCTTAGACAATTGAGGGCTATTCCAAAATGTACGAAAACTTTAATATAAATTTTAAATCCCAGAAAATAAAAAACTAAATGTATCATTCAAAAGTTAAAGGTTTGTAGTTCCTAAAAACATGTAACATGTAGAACTGGTTTTCGAAGAATTTTAGGATTTGATGCTTAAACTTTAAAAAACTTTTTAGACTTCAAATTTAAATTATTTTTTCTAGTAAATTATTTTGAAACCTTTTTTATGAAACTTTTTTAAATTTCTATGTAGATTTGTCTTATGCAAAATATAGATGGGGCTCTTCCTTTTCAAAATGAAAATTTATTATAATAATTAAATAGTCTTAAATTGAAAAATTTCTATTTGGTCTTCTTTAAGTTTGTCACCCAGTGACATGTCATGCCGTGACAGAATATCTATTTTATTTTAAATAAATAGTTATATATTATTTGTAACTAAAATAGGGCAATAAATATAAATAGATATTTAAATCTAAACATTTTTAGTTTTTGTGTTATTTGTCTTAAGTTTATGTCACGTTGTGACGACACGGCGTGACATTTTTAAAAATTAAAACTTTCAAAGACTAATTTTAATAAAAACGTTCGCAAAAAACATGTTGGTTTAACATTTGTAGTATTTATATTGTTTTTTATTTGTGGATAAGTTTTGAAACCTCCTTTAGTATAACTAACATTGTTTTTTTTTTTATTAAACCTGTAGGTGTACCTGTAAATATGTAGACATATTTTACTAACACCTTTGATATTTACTTTTTCTTAAATTTTGTCGCGCGATTGCTAAAGTTATTCAGAATGTTTATTGTTTATACAATTCTTATAAAAAGTAAACTTTCACAAACAAATTGTATATTTCTTCGTTGAAAGTAATGAAAATGCCTCTAACAATACTGAACACCAGAGAAAGCATAGAGAAAGACAAATGCAAAAATTTGGTCCGGATTTTATAAAGGAAAAAGACTCGATACGGAAAAAGGTAAAAACGAAATTCTAATATTGAATTAACACGTTTAAAGGACAAGTTAAGAAAAAAAAAGAGTAGAGTTTCTTTATCTAAAATAACATCTCTCTTGCTTACAAATCATCTTCTACACTTGGTAAAAATGTTAAAAAAGCAAAACGTGCTCTTCCGACTTCTCATCTTAAAAAAGCAACTGTTGTTAAACAACTTGCAATTCAGTTTAACAAAGATTTACCAGATATGCAACCAACACATTGACCTAATGCTCTTAATGATGAAACGAAGCTATGCATCATTAGTTTTTTTGAACAAGATGGTATATTCCGTCATGCACATGGAGTAAGAGAAACGAATGTTTTAAGAAGTAATAAAGAAAAAAAAGAAAATGCAAAAAAGATATTTAACAATGAATATAAGTGAAGCATATCAAATATTTAAAAACGAACACACTGATTTTTCAATCAGTAAATCCAAGTTTGCTAGTTTGAGACCAGGCCATATACTTTTATCAAGCTTAATGCCTAGAAATGTTTGTTCATGTCAAAAACATGAAAACATTATCTTGTCACTCAAAGTATTACATTTTATCAATTTAAAAATTCCCATTTATTCAGATGCTTCACTAAATACTTAAGTGTGTGATGAGAAAAATGATAATTGTTGGAATAACCTTTGTGACTCTTGTAAGGATGGAAAGTTATTTCTCAAAACATACCATTTAGATAAAAAAAACAAAATAAAGAAATTACCTGGTACCTTTGGGAGAAAGTTATGCAACTTAATGAAACTGAGCACCTCGAAAAAGCAATAAAAAAAGACAAAGCCATAATTTTGTATAACAATGTTTGCAAAATGCTATCCAAATTTCTTTTGCATTATTTTATAAAAGGAAAACAATTAATGAGTTATGAAAACCAAAAAAAAAAATTTAAAAAGCAATCTTCATTCAGTTTTGCTACAAGTTGACTTTGCAGAAAATTTCTCAACATTCTGGCAGGATGAAGTTCAGTCAGCACATTGGAACAAAAAATTAGTAACATTATTTACTGCTGTTAGCTGGCATAGTGACTCTTGTAAATCTGCCATTATTACTTCTGATGATCTGAACCATTTAAGAAGTTCAGTTATTTATTTTATTGACTTCTTAATAACTAACTTTATTAGAACGAATGTAAAATACTTGAATACTTGTTTGGTCTGATGGTCCTAGCAGTCAATTTCAAAATTGTTACATAGTAACTTTAATTCCATGGCTTGAAAGCAAGCACAAAATTAAAATTTGCTGGAATTACTTTGCAACCTATTATGGTAAAGGACCATGCGATGGTATAGGAGCAACTATAAAAAGATTAGCAACACAAAAAAGAAAGAAGAGAAGCTCTGATTAATGACGCAACAGCATTTTATAAAGCCATCAGAGATGAAAGTCAAGTAAACGTTTTCATGGTTGCAGCTGAAAAAATTAAACTGCTTTTGATGGCACAGAATTTGGAAACATCATTAATAATGCTTGTAAAATGCCTGTGCCAATTGCTTATAACAGTTTAATGATAAAATGAAAATGAAACCTTATTCAAGTGCATCATACTTAGTCAACTAGATAAAATTTAATAAAAAAACGTAGTTGAATTTTACAAGACTTTTTTTGAAATTATTGTAAATAAACCAATCTTGTAATGTGTAATGTAAATATGTGTATTGTAAATATACCAATCTTGTAAAAATCCGAATAAATTGGTTATTATAAATTGGTTTTAACTGATGATGTTATTATCTTAATAATCAAAAATTTTGGTCTCCATTTAAATTTATAAAACATTTTAAAAATGTTATGAAACTATTATAACACCTTTAAAGTATCCAAGACATAACAAAAAAATATTTCAAAATATCCACAAGAGCTGAACTACTGTCATTTCTTATAATGACGGAAAATGCTAGATAATTTTTTTCACTTGGTGACGCAACCTTTTAATGTGTATACCTAAAAGTCTATAAAATATTAAAACTAAATAATTTTGTTTTTAGAAACTGTTATGTATATGAATATTTTTTAGTATCTTTAATTTTTAAATTTTTAATTTTAAATGCGCTAAAATCTAATGTTTTTCCCCCCAAAAAAGTCAAATGTCACGCGGTGACAACGTAGAATAACCCTAAAACACATTTGCAACTTTAGTTAGTATGGAAAAATGCTGGTGGAGAGGACAATTTATTAATTTTATAAGACAAACTTTTTTTTTATATATTTTATATATTTGTATATATTTTAATCTTTATTACATATATATTTTATATACTTTACTTATATTCTTGTAAGATATATATTTTCATGAATTAACAACTTTTTTATTTTTTAACATCTTTGCTTCCAACAAGGCTGCAACAATCACTAATTAGAGTTGGAAGTTACTGGAAGAGAAAAGATGAAGATTGTAGAGCAAGATAACAATTGACAGACGACTTAAAAGATTACAAATTATATGAATCAGGAAAGCAAGATGAAGGAAGCGAATTCCAAAGAACTGATGTTCAAGGGAAAAAACTAGACGAATAAGAATTTTTGGAGCATTTAGAAACAGTAACAGAAAAAGGATAAGACTTACATGAATGACGAGTAACACAAGAATGAATTTTAGTAGATAGCACAAGAGACTCTTTAGAGCAGTGCCCATTATAGTATTTGTAGAAAAGAGAAAGAGAAGCAACATTACGACAATGTGAAAATGGTTAAAGGTTGGCTGCAAGAGCAGGTCCAACTATGTTTACAATGTGTTTTTTTACCCTGTCTAAAAGAGAAAGGGCATTATTAGAAGATTCAGATATAGCAACAGTATTCCATACAAGGCCGGATTTGAGATTTATAGAGATAAAGATTAGAATCCGTAAGAAGAAAGTATCAAGCCCGACAAAGAGACGCAACCTAAGCAGATGCTAATTTTTTAACGGATTTGATACATGGTTTCCAAGAAAGATCGTAAGTAAGAAGTAATCCTAGAAGATGAAGGGTAGATGGCTCATCAAGCACATTACTGGTCTTTAATATAGGAAAATCTAAATTATTGCGATAACGATTAGTTGAAAAAAATTGTGGCTGGTGAACTTGAATTTTATCTGAACTCAAGTTCACCAGCCACTGTGAGCCCCATGCTGTAGCAGAAGTGAGATCCTTTTCAAGCTTAAATGCCCCCTCCAAGCAATCAGAGAGTGTTGGCTTCTTTTCATAACAAGAATAAATGGTAGTATCGTCAGCGAACAATGCCACCTTAAATGTGAGAATATCGTTAATGTGAATTAAAAAAAGTATAGGGCCAAGCATTGAACTTGAGGAACCCCTGAAGTTACAGAATAAGCAGACCATCAAGGACTACTTTTATACTATGATTGGAAAGAAAAGGATTCGATAACATTAAAGAAATTCCATTTACGAATAATTTATTTTTGCATCCTAGGAACTCACTTCACTGAACATGTTTATGTCAAACTAACAATAAACTTCCACATACATTGCTTCCAGTAGGATGTTGAATGCTGGATCTTCTTGAATTAATGCATGGGTTTTTATGTGTCTCTGTTTTTAGGACTAGGCAATTCATTCTATTACCTCCTAACGAGGGTACAGCTATAAAACTCAGTTTTACAGTTTGCTTGAGGCTAACTGGTAGTCAGGTTTCCTGAATTTTGTGGTAGCTCTCAGAGAGGCTGATTCCATCAACAGCTGTAAAATATGAGTACTAACAATGCAATGTTGAGCAAGGATGATGTCCCTGATTGTACTTTTGGGGTGCATTGATAAGGCCACATTTGAAGACCTTTGTC